ATATTTAAAGATATATATATATATATATATATATATATATATATATATATATATATATATATATACATATTCGTTAACATTTTTTGACGTTTTGATAAAAAAAAAAATTTCTAATCTTTTTGACGTTTTCGTCAAGTATATTTATTAATGTTTTTTGACGTTTTATTGGAATAATTTTCTGTTTTTTTTACGTCATTGGATTTAAATGTAACGTTTTCGAGTTATCTTTTGTTTGTAGACATTTTGTGCATTTTTAAGTTATATAGATTTCGATTAGTCTATGTATAACATGACACCCGTTCAATTTCCGATTATCATATGTATTTCGATTAGTCTATCTATATTAATCCTATTCAAGTTTAACAAACCCTTTTACATTTTTTTTTTACAAAAAATAGTTATAAAAAACTTTACAAAAATAATACTCATACATCATTATATGCTTTATATAGTTAAATATATGAATTAAAAAATAATAATTATATAACCTTATCTATATTAAAATAGAAAGAAAGAAATGAAAACATGATTGTAAGTTAATTAAGTTGCGAATTATAATTACGGTGACTATAAATTCTTCAAAAAATATTAAAAAAGAAAACCTAATAAAAACTTTAAAAAAATATATTAGAACAAAACGTAAAAGAATTAGAAATAATTATTCCAATAGAACATCAAAAACATCAATAAATGTATTTGAAAAAATGTCAAAAAAAAAGGAAAAAAAGAAGAAAAAAAATATTTGAACAAAACGCTATAAAATATTTGTGAAAAAATATAAAGAAAAACATTAAACAACATATTCAAACAAAACTTTAAAAACATCTAAATCCTAAAATATATAAATAAATTAAGTAAAAATAAAAATAAATAATAGAGAAAATTACATAAATGGTCCCTGTGGTAGGAAACATAAATGGTCCCTATGCTGGAAGGGCAAATATGTCATTTCACATAGAACTTAACTGAAAAGGTTAACACCGTTAGCCTAAAGGACCGTCTCTGCAAGATTTTGAAACCACAAGGACCATCTATGTAAAGAATTCATCATAAAGACCGTGATTGGTCGATTTTGTCAACCACGAGGACCATTTTTGTAATTTTGTCTTAATAAATTTGTGTTAGTTTAGTAAGATGTAGTCAAAATAAAACAGAGAGTTATTTATTTGTTAGGAATAGAAAAGTAGATAAATATCTAGCAAAATGTGATGAGAACATAAGATTATTTGAACTTAACTCAAACCGGTATATAATTTGGTTTATCAAATCAAAGTTTATCTTTATCGGTGACAGATTTACAGTAGTGGACGTAGTATAGTTACTGCAGAAGAAAAATTATAAAACTTACGGTTACCCCATAAGACAAATTATAAAACTTAGTATGTTAATGTATGTACTATGTAGGATAAAACACCGAGTTGTCTTCAAAAGTTTTTGGATAAAACACCGAGTTGTCTTCAAAAGTTTTTGGAAAAGTGAAAGAAGATGACGTAGTGATAAGTGTCATTAAGGCTCTTCATTTATAGAAAGTTGAGACCCTTC